ACGGGTATTAAACGGTTACGGTTAAATAGGTATGTGGTTATGGGTATGGTTAACCGTTTATAAACGGTTATGGGTATGGGTATAACCGTTTAGGCAATTACCCAACGAATAAATGGTTATGCGGATATGAGCACAAACGGTTATGTGTAAATAACTGCGGTTATCCGTCCGCCATAACCGTTGCCCACCCCTACCTACGTGACACCATCTCCACCCGGCCGCCATGGCAGGCTCAAAATTATTTTTCTACAGTTTCGCAAGTCGAATGGACGCTCTCAGTCTCTTCTATTATTGAGGCTCTCTTCGTCGGCGGGGTCTACTGGTTCGTCTCAGTTTTCAGCCCAACCGACCAAAAGGACAAGAGCATTGTAGATCTCTTCAGTATCTCATCTTCATTGAGGAAGTGCAAGATAGCTCCTTCTTCCGCCGGCCCGTGGAGATTGAACAATTATAAGTAGGGAGGTGCATTTGTTGGTATTTTACATGTTTCACCAAATCCTTCTCTCCCTTAAATAAATACTAGCAATTGTTCACATGCTATGTATGTGGTTACTAAAATTTTAAAGATAAAATTTTAAAAAGGAGAAAATATAAATGGTTTTGGTCGCTAAAGTTTTTAGGTGACGACTTTCAAACGGTTTTTTATCGTTGAAGAAGTTGTTCATATCTTAGCAATTGTTTCTTCTTAACTATTTCGTTACTAAAAATTTATTTTATTTGGAAGAAACTGTGGAAAAGAGGGGGGTTGGAAGAAAAATGAGGACAATGATAAGGTTAACTAGTTGTGAGAGAGAGAACAAAATCGTAAAACTATTTTGTGTCTAATTTACTCTATAGTTTTGTTAATAGGGTTAGATGGTCTTTTCACATTTTTGGTTAACAAAGATGGTACTATTAAAAAAGGGCTTTTTTTTTTAACCAAAATGGTCACTAAAGTTGACATAACTCATTTGGTCTTTAAGATTTGAAATCAATAAAAGTGGTTTCTGATTTTGTCCACTATTAATCATTTTAGTATTTCCGTGAAAAATCTAGTTAAATAAGGACCAAAATGATAAAAATAACCTCTATTTAATAAACAATGGGCCAAAGTGATTTGACAAAAATAGAGGGTATTTTTGCCATTTTATCCTTATATAATGGAAAATTTTAACAGAATGACTAAAATGATTGATAGTGGACAAACTTAGGGACCACTTCTACCAACTTCAAATATCAGGGACTAAAATGAGGAATTATATCAATCTCAAAGACCATTTTAACTAAAATGCAGATGTATAATAATTAATACATTATAATGGGTTTGCCCTCCATAGCCTCTACCGCTATTGTAGAAACCAAATATGAATTTAATCCATACCTTATGGCAAACAATTTTTTGTATATGGATCAAATCCGACAATTGAAATATCAACAAAACTATATACTATCTGATAAAAATTAATTATTTACACACAAACGGACATTTTATGACTTCCTCCACATGTAGAGAGGTGTTTTTTAATTTTTACAAGTAATTTATGCACTTTAAATATGTGATTATCAACTAAATATTAGTTTAGTGATACTTCTGTTTCTAAATATATGTAATACTGTTACAAATAAAAATTTAAGATGAAATAAAAATATTTCTTTAAAGTGCCATGATTTATACTTGCACTAGCTTTTAGTAATTACGTGTCTGTCTTTTCCTAAGTTAACATATGAAAATAGGCATGCTCCACTGCTAACATGGTTTTTTATATCAAGTACTAATTTTTGTCTCAAAGTCATTTAATACTACGGCCTAGTGGTATTCCTCTTCACTGATAAGTGAGAGGTCTTAGGTTCGGTTCTATCCAAAGGAAAATTTGAAGTATATTATTGCTAGTAAATTGTGAAGCTCATTGTGAAGTTTAGCCACTCTCCCACCCCATAATGTAGATAATATTATTTGTTAAAAAAAAAAAAATCCGTCTCAAATAATACCCTAACTGAGTGAATTCCACATCGTTTTCCAAAGGCCGAAAAGAGGACCAAACGCAATAAGGGAGGCCCGCAAAGTCGGCCCAATAGTCTACAAAAGGCTGATAAACCCTAACTCATTTCTCCTCCTGTATATTAGCACTCTGCCGCCGAGCTTTAACCTTCTTGGTCGTCTTCTGTTATCTCTCATTTTCCAACAGAACCCATCACCCCGTTCCCTCTCAACTCCCGGTACGTTCTGGTTTTTCGTTTACTTGTTAACCCTTTGTGTGGCTCCGTCGCATCCTGCAGATGATTTATTAATTTATTTTTTCTGTGATAACACTATATTTTTCAGTGGATTTGTTTTGTTTTTATAATTTATTTTTGGGTTTAATTCAGATTTTAGGTGGTGTTGTTCTTGGATTCGAAATTGCTAGATTCTTAGGTTCATAATTCAGAGTTCAGACTGTTGTTTTTATTATAATTCAATGAAGTCGTTGGTGGTTTTGTTGGATTTAAATTCATGGTGCTTTTGGGTTGAAGTGGTAGTTAAAATGTGAAATCTTCACCTTTCGGTTGGTATTCGTGTGAACTTATGAAGTTTTATACTCAGTGATGTAATTATCAGGTTTTACAAGGAAATAATTGATATATATATATATATATATATGTTTGTGTATAGACTTGGACATATACGGTGTGTGTGCAGTGGTGCCGAATCTTAATACATTGATTTGTTTCGTGTGATTTGTATGCATATTTTGATGTACAAAGATGTATGCAAACGCGGTATTTGTTCTCCTTAATGTTGGGCTTATATTTGTTTTGTATTTTGGCAGCAGGAGATAATCGACAATGAGTCGAGGAACTGCAGCAGCAGGTCCCAAGGGGAAAAAAAAGGGTGTGACTTTTACCATTGACTGTGGAAAGCCTGTGGAGGACAAGATCATGGACATTGCATCCCTGGAGAAGTTTCTTCAGGAGAGGATCAAGGTCGGAGGCAAGGCTGGTGCACTTGGCGATGCTGTCAGTGTGACCCGTGAGAAGAGCAAGATCACTGTCACCTCTGACAGCAACTTCTCAAAGAGGTATTTTTGTTGATCTTTCGTGATTAATTCTTGTATGACTAATTGAAGGTGTGGTTAATTTATTGAATTCATGCATTCTTTTTTATGCATGGTGAGTTTAGCTTGACTTTCTTTGTAATATTTGTGTCTTGATCCAGACATTGATGTTTAACATGCATTGAAGTCATCAGAGCATCCTTTGAATTTTGCTCTGATGACTTGCCGTCTCTGTGATGATAGCTATTTTACATTTTAACTGTCAAATGCTTGTAGATATTAGAGCAAATCTGCATAGCCATCTGAAGGTTAACGCATAGTGAAGTTGATTTTTTGAAATACTCCTAGGTACTCATTTCAACTGAATTCTATGTCGTTCACAAATATTAACATTTGATCCTTTGTTTGACTCTTCTGTTAATTTTGTTAAACCATCATTTTTGTAGAGCTCGAGCTTATAGCTTATATCATTTTGTGTTTAAAATCCTGAAATAATAATCTCAAACAAATAAAAAAAAGGATTTAGTCTCTTTGTTTAGTTGGATGATTGTGACTCATCCGGCATTCCATTTTAGGTTTCTATTTGCATTTTATGCAACCCTAGGTTAAACAAGTTCTTCGCCTGTAACTGTAACTGAAAAATGGAGTACAGTTTTTGTGTAGTTTTACAAATATTTTTGTTGTTTTGGTGGTTCAGGTATCTGAAGTACTTGACAAAGAAGTATCTAAAGAAGCACAACGTGCGAGATTGGCTACGAGTGATTGCTTCCAACAAGGATAGAAACGTCTACGAACTGAGGTACTTCAACATTGCCGACAATGAAGGGGAGGAGGAAGATTAAGATGCCGGGTCATCTAAGAACCTTGTTCACTTATTCAGTTTTACGCGTGGTACTGTTAAAATTAATGATGTTTTGAAATTTTGTTTTTCTTTCTAATGAGATATTTGCTATCAGTGGATGAGAATACAGATCTGGATTGTAGGAAGTTGAACTAGTTATGTTTTAACGAATTCACCAGGTGATATTCTCAAAGTTTTCAGCACAGCTATTTCTTCTCCCTGATTGTTGTTTCATCCCTTGTAACTTATGATATCGACCCTGTTGCCGAGTTGACGTTGAAATTCTTTGAGATTGCTAGGTTTTTAGTTTTGACATCGATGTGGCTCATCCGGTCGTGCATCCATTTTTTTACTTAACTTTTGACGCATTTTTTGGGGCATATTTCATAATGTATTTCAACGATCCGAACCGTCTTTAAAGGTAGAGGTCCCTTATGTGTATTTAAATTACTTCTTTGGTATCTGAATTTTGTCAATTATATGTATATGAACATATAGGTTCCCGCTGAACTTTTCAAGCTCACCCTAACTAAATTTTGCAAGTTTACGAACTAGGCAATCGAAGAGGTTAGACGAACCGAGTTCGTAATAGATAGGAGGCTTGGAGTTCATTAGTGCTGGTGTGTTTGTAAAAATTCTCGGTAATTTGTACAAGAGCAATTTGATTGGAATTTTATCTTTATCTTTTATTTATTTATTAAATTTTAAATCGTGTTTTGGAATTGGGGTTTTGTACCAAGCCCGGGTCTAGGGCAGTTCCACAGAAACGTGTTAAAAATTATTATACAAAAAAGTGTCACAGATTCGTCCATACATATATATTTCAGTTTCACAATAAGTTAAACTAAAGATGGAAAACCTATAGTTAATCTTCGAATAATACAATTAAAAAGATGCAGTAATCACAGTTGACTAAACTGAACTCCGAGTGTGAATCAATCAGATGTGCAGTAACCCAATTTAATTCGATATAAAAATGAATATTGCAAAATATAATTCCATATAAATATCGGAAATACAACACTTTCGAATAACATTATTCAAAATTAGAAGTCCATCTTACCTGACGAGGAGCCTTCAGTTTGAAGCCGGTTGCCTTGTAATATTGTGTTTGGTTGTAGAGAGGGAGGGCATATTGCTGTTGCCTGTTGGAGTATTGACTCGATCAACATTTATAATTTAAGAATACTGAGAGATTTACAAGTTCTATTGATCATGGCAGAAATCTCTGAATCTTGTACACAGCGGGGTACAAACACGACTACTGGTTGTCCGACAAATGGACAGCTCGAAAGTTACTCAGACGAATGGGAGGACCAAGTATTCTCAGGACACTTGGGAAGAACATGTAAAACTACTATCTGCATACGTAGACATCTACCATGGTTTAGTCTATGTTGATTCTGACAACCCTTTTGGTCCTCCCGTCAGAGGTAATCCGCGCAGCGTTATCTGATCCCATTCCTCTGGTGCTTTGCGTTTGCTCTGAAGGTGGAAGAAGCCCCTGCCAAAAACGCATTTCCCATCTGTTCTCTGCTACCGGAACCTATAGATATTTTGTCGTACCAATATCATTCATTACTTGGTTAAAAATACTGAATTCTGAAACGCAACATTCCCTATGGTGTCTAGCATACACAATTACACACCAACAAGGAAGTTAACACTCGAAAACCTCCCAAGAAAGAGGAGGGAAGAGGAAAGGAACCGTAGAACAAACACTAACATTACTTGTACAGACAACTCACAGGTATGGCGGATGTATATCTTTCCTAAATCATACACCCAGCACTCTGCACTAACATAACCATTTAAATAGAAAGCCATAGGAGCATTATTATTGCCAATGTACCTTCACTGGTATTGCAACACATACCATTCTCTTCTACTACTTACAGTGCATTGAATATATATACAGACACACAGACACACATTATCAGTTCTGATCCTAATAGGAAAAAGAAGTTTATATGACCATTTTCAAAGAACTCTGTTATGCTCACGCATGTGAGACTACATGCATATCAATAATGTCTGTGAACTGAATATTAGGCTGATATGGAGAAATTAACATCATGATTTGCAGGCACATTTGCCCAAGACTATCTGCTGAAAAAGCTAACAAAATCCCATCTAACAAGAACGAAGAATTAATAAATGAAGAAACAAACACAAAGGAAAGAAAGTTTGTGGCTGGAGGGGGTGCTTATGTACCATGCATATCAAACTCATGTTTCCAGCTAGGCAAGTGACCTTCAACATTACCATTCCATGCTACTTCAAAACCAGGAAGCTCATCTGCAACAAAATGGCAACATCAGTTTTACTGTTCATACTTCTAAAACATAACACTTGTTAACCAACCATAAAGGGCTGCACAAACAAACCTTCATTTAAATTGTGTAAAGTTTGCAACACATCCACCCTTCCATCTGACGTAAGCTTCCTTGTAACAGAATGGCCCTACATAAGCAACACAATCATCTTAATTCCGCTAATAAGTTCATAATTAATTCTTTCTGATACCTTTCGTGATGCTTACTTAAGACGTGAGAAAGAGATTGAATTAATAACAGCCACAAAATGATCTATGCAACAATAACAAAAACCACAGATTGAGAAAATAAAATGGGCAGAAATGAATATATTCTGAAACAATAGCATACAATCCAGTCCCATTAAACTTGAACAAGATAGTAACATGGTTATCACGTACATGAGATTAATCCCTCAAGCAATACAATGAGCAAACCCACTCCATACACTTGCTCCATATTTGACCGTAAGAAAGCGGAAAAGGGTGACTCTGAGTGTTCAGTACACAAGGTCGGTAACCCTTTTGCATCAATTTCTTAGTTGACTGCTCCTTTCCAGGAAATGCCTAATGCCTCAAACTACAACTTTTTATAGGTTTTATAGCCATTCTTCATTTGTTCTTGCTATAGGCTGTATTAACGAACAAAAGAAATTTACCTTGTCATGAAGTCCTCTCGAAACCCTACGTGTTGCTTGACCAGTTGTCTTATCTGCTTCTTTGGTCTCCTCAAGCGCTACCTGATGTACAATCACAGCTTAAGTTAAAGAATTATGCAAATGAAAAATCAAATCCCAGAAAAATTACTTACGCCATCACCGCCTGCCCTTCTAGTTCTTGTAGAAGTGTAATACGCTCCATCTACATCACCACATGTGACTCTGCAAGTCTGAACAGAGAAATTATGGCCCTGAGACTGTGCGCCTTCCACATTGTTGCGGTCATTTCTATACGTCACATCCTTGCCTTTCCTCTCTGCTAGATTCAACATGGCAACCATCAGCATCTTACAGCCAACTTAAATTACAAGGTAGAGGATAACCCTTAACAGTTTCTAAGCAATAAAGACGTGGAAATTTCACTACCGTCCACAACATCATCTGGATGGTCAATAGATGGTTCTTTGCCTGAAACTGATATTTTGTTGTCTCTACCACTCCCCGGTGTATCACTAGAAACGGAACTTGGACTGAACATACTAGACTCGAAGATGCTACCAATCGGGCGACTGAAGAACGGATCACCAAATGGATCCCTTCCACCAAAAAGGCTAGGGAACATGCTTCTTCTGGACCCAAATCCCTGGAAACTATCAAACAATCCATGTGATCGAGAAACACCATCTCTAGTGTCTCTTTCACTTTGCATTTTGTTGGTGTTTATCCCTCTGGAATCAGAAAATCTCAGTATAGATTATTCTTTATAATAACACATTAAAAACCTCGAATAAAAATGTTCAAAAAACCACTGTTTTAAGTTCAATTAGGGTGCGTTTGGTACGTGGGACGGGACGGGACGGAACGGGACGAGGCGTTCCGTCCCGCGTTTGGTGCGCCAAAAATGGGTGGAACGGGCTGTTCCACGGGACAGATTTTGGGTGTTTTTGCGTTCCACCTCCCCCCCTGGAACGGGTTTGTTCCACGTCTGTGGAACACAATGTTTTACCATTTTAAGACAAATATACCCCATGTCTTTTTCAAAAATTACACCAAATGCATTTTGTTGGTGTTTATCCCTCTGGAATCAGAAAATCTCAGTATAGATTATTCTTTATAATAACACATTAAAACCTCGAATAAAAATGTTCAAAAAACCACTGTTTTAAGTTCAATTAGGTATGCTATTATGCTAATCTACAAAACAACAAAATATACGACTCAAAATCTAACTTTTGAAGCATTTCATATAATTGATTAACAATAAAATCGATTAGTTACTTACCAAAGGCAAGTGATTCAAAACAAAATTATCAACACATCAATTTCATATAATTAGAGAAAATCATAAAACTTAATCACACAAAACTAATTAGTTATCGAAATGTGTATTTACCACTACATTAACATGTAAGCGAACGATCATTCAAGTCATTAACCAAAAAAAATTCGAATAAAACCATTCCCGATATATAATTACGTTATACACTCATGAAATTCAAATGAAAATTAAAACCGTCACATCAAGCGAGCTCTACGACTGATACGGAGCAGATGATCACGGATAGTAGAAAAATAGATGAATGTACGTTAAAATTAGGGACATAAGATTCTATGGACAGTAAATCGAACAGAGAAATTAAAACTTCATTATATTCTGTTTGGCAGCCAAGAAAATGGGAGAGGAAAATAAAAAGATGAAACAGTAGACCCGGCCGTTTCTGACACGACACGAAAATAATGGGTTTCGGATCAATACGATAACTTATCGGGTCATTATCGGGTGACCCGTTAATACGTTAATAACGGGTTATTAACGGGTATACACGTGGGTAACCCGTTTCGACCCGTTAAGAAAAAAATTATTTTGATAATTTTAAAGTTTAATTACTAAAAGATTTATTATAAAATACAATAGCCATATTAATATATACAATATATTCTATATTAAATATATAGTTTTGTATTATTATTCTATATAAGTTTAAAAAAAAAGTTTTAGTCATTATTTATTTTTATTATGAGTTCCTTATCATTACTATGATAAATTTTATTTAATATGTTGATGTCCAAAATTAAAATAAACTAATATAGTATTTGTATAGGCAAGAACTAAGAAGACATACATACAAGTATGAAAAATGTGAAAGAATATATAAACACTCGTGAGTCATCATTATTCATCCACAAGTAGATAATGGTTACACTTACATTATTGTTTAGATTTTTAAAATCCTCCAAAACTTCATGAATTATGTTTTTTATTTAAGGGCAAAATTAATAATAATTATTGTAGAAGTGTAAAAAATGTAAAAAAAAATATACAATCACTCATAGTGACAAAATTTACAACTTTCATGAAGGGGTCAGCTTCGAAATTCAACACTATAATTCATAAACCTTAAATTTCTATTTAACCGTTGATTGCCATTTACGCTTTATTCTTCTTACTGAATTTAATTTTTAAAATTTTCTTTTTTGAAAACATAATCATCTGGCGGATGTAAGAAGATGAACGGTTCAGATCTTTGATATCACGTTTGTTGGAAATGTGCCCTAAAACCAATCATATGATGATACTTTACGGACATTTCACATGTTAAACTAATCTAGTTTAATATCAAGGGCAAAGATTATTGTTTTAAGTCGTCTCATATAAATGTTATATGCTTAAACGATAAGTCCAAGGAATATGTGATTGGGAGAATGCAATCTAAAGAAGTTAGATTCATGAGACCATTCTTTCGTATACATATCTTAAACGTTCCTGATCATAGGATTGCCAATTGGGCATTGACAGTCCGTTAAGATCAGTACGTGATGTGTCTTCTCTCAGGAAGAGTGACTAGTCTCGAGTCATTGGTGTGTGTGACATCAAGACAAATACGTAGGTGCTCAATAGAGAATGAGTTCACTGAACACGATCAACGAAGAGTTCTCATATTCATGTCACATGAGAACTTATGGTTGGGATAATGCAAAGTAGTCCCTTGACCTGAGGCATCATAGTTGTCTTGTGGTTAAGTCCTTGATCTTTGATTATGTCAAATGTCACTCCATCAGGAGGGTGTCCACGACATAGTTGGGGTTAAGCCACTTAGCTATGGAGGCAAGTGAATGTGCAACAAGGGATCTCTAACCCTCAAACCGTTTGGGGGAGAATACTCTATGATATGATTAAGAATCTCTGGGCAGAGTATGAATGAGATTTAGGAAGTCGTTCCAAATCACATTCAAGGTAATCATATAAGCACACGAATCACATTGGATAATAGACATGAATAAACTATCAAACCAAACAATGTGGTCAAGAGTATTGTATTAGAGAAAAACCGTATTGCATTTGTAATCCTAAACTGAATAGGTTCTCCACCTCTTCTGATTAGTTTGGGTAACCATGATATGCTGCTAGGTGTCACTCATGGTTTGTGGAAGCCCTAAACGTGTATAATCACTAAAGGGAGAATTGAAAGTAAGTTTCAATTCACAATCAATTTGAAATGGTTTTAATCGCCCACTGCCTCGCTAAAAGGAACCTAATGGATCGTACACCGTGTAAGGTGGAGATTGAAGAAACAATGGAGATGAGTAAGAATAATTAAATGGTTTAATTGTTTATGGCAAGGATTAATTAATATGTTAATTAATCAAACGAATAAGTTCGTTAAAGACCTCGGGATAATTTTGGACCTTAAGACCCAATGGGCTTCGAACGTCAAGCCCATTGACTTAAGTTGTATGACAATTTAATGAATAAAGATTCACAAGGGCCCAAAAAGCCCAAATCCCTTATGTGGCCGCCCATTTGATATGAATTAGAGTTTTGGTTCTTTAGGTCACTTAAAGAATTGACTATATAAAGAACTTTATAGCCAAAATTCATTAAGGGTTTCTTTTTAGGAAATTGGAGAGAACACAAAGCTCTCATTTCTCTCTAAAGAGGCCGGCCCCCTTGGAGGGATTAGCTAGTAATCTTTCTCCTCCAAGGTCACTCATTTCTTCATCAATCTTACCTTGGTGTGGATACTTAGAGATTCTCAATTTTGGGAACTTGGAGAACCATTTCATCCATCCAAATCCATAGATCTAAGATGCAAGGAATGAAGGCCCTCTCTTTGGGTGATTAGCCTTTGCTTATGCAAAGAGGAATCTACAAAGGTATAAATCTCAACTCACTTTGTTTTGAGTTGAGTTTTGGTTCACCAATCTACTAGGCTTTGAATTTCATGGTTAATGTTTTGTTTTAAGTGCATGCAAGCATGATTCCGCCTTTAATTGTTAATTGCATGCTAATAGATGTTGCTTAAATGAACATGTTTTTCACAAAATCTTCCTTCAACGTTTCGATATTTACGATTAACTGAAATATGAGTCGATGTCATATAGTTTGTTGAAACTTTATAAACTTCAAACAATATTTTCACTAACTGTAAAACTCTGAATATAATATCAACGATCCAAACCATTCATCTTCCTGCATCCTCTAATAGATCAAGTTTTCAAAAAGGAAAATTTGAAAAAACAAAATTTGATGAGAACAATGAAGTGTAAATGTAAAAAACAACCAACGGTTAAATTTTAATTTATGATTTATATGATTATAGTGGAGAATTTCGAAGTTAAGCTCTTCATGAAAGTTGTAAAGCTTGTCATTACAAGCGTTTATATATTTTTTCTATATTTTTTTACACTTCTACGTTAAGTTAAAAACTATTAAATACTTTAGGTATGTGAAAATATACTTAAAAGAAAAATGCGTTCTTATGTTTTGGATGTAACAATATGATATGTACATACTTATTTAGTATTATGTTTTTCAATTGATTATTTATTGGTTTAAAATATATTTTCCTTCACGGGTAACGGGTCGGGTCATATTACCTGTTAATATTATCGGGTCGATTTCGGGTTGAGTCATTTTACCCGTTTATTTTAACAGGCGTTACATGATATAACCCGTTAAGATATCGGGTATAACACGAAAACGACACGAACACAGAAAACATGACACGAATACCAGATCTATGAAACATTCGTACCTGGTACAAGAAAATTCCAGAACGGCCTAATTGCTTCTTCTTTTGGTTTGGCAGCCTTTATATACTCGTTCGTCTGATAGAAAGCGCGCGCAGGAGAATTACACGTATCCGCCTCCATTGGTCCACGACATTCTGGAGACAACGATTGACTGCATCTGCATGCATTGGACACGTATCGCATAATCATACGGTGTGGGCAAAACAAATGTTTGAAAATTTTTGTATGCTAATTTTCCAAATTTTCCTAATCCTTCGCAACCAAATGCATAGTCCATTTTTGCTCACTCACCGTCCTATTAATCATAGCTCGATGTGTTTAAATTTTAAAGTTTGTGTTTATTCATTATCTACATTTCCAAATGTAAACTTATCTAATAGATCACAATTACATAAAAAGTGTTATCCACACATCACTTTTTACATTTCACACAACCCTTTCAATTTTTGTCCATCAAAAAAATCAAAACACTAGTGGAGACAAGGTGGGGGCAATGCATGCGTTTGACCCAAACAAGATGCCCTTGTTACCACTAAATTTTAGTATCTAATTCTAACCTAAGGAATCGAATATAAATGTGTATTAATTAGAGTATTTAATATGTAACTCATGGTTCTAAAAGACGCTAGGTGCTAGTTGGGCAGCGGGCTGAGACCTAGCGCCTAGGTGGCTAGAAGGCCTGCCTAAGCCGATTAGGTGGATTTAAGTAAATCTATTATATTTCGTGTAAATAAGTATTTGCTTATACTTAAAAAATATATATATATAATTTCTTCATAAACTACAAAATAAAATGATATAAATATTATGAAGTATTGTAACATAATGAAAACATGAGGAATAAGGATATAATGTATGTTCATTTAAAATATGTAACAAATCTCTTACAATTTATTGAAAAAAAACGCAAAATGAAAATTATATATTTTTTGTCTAAGTAAGTCGCGACCTAGACAGGTCTAAGCGGGCTAGGCAGTCTATGTGGGCGCCTCAGCACATCTAGGCGCCATTTTTTAATTTTCAAATGCCTAGACATTAATTAGGACGGTGACCAGCCACCTAGCGCCTAGAATGGGTCTAGGCAGGGATTTTTAGAACAATAATGTAACTACAATAAAATAAGGGGTGTGCTATCCACACAACCCTTTTTACTTCTTATACACTTTCTTAATTTTCGATCGTCGGATTAAATGAATGGAAGAAGATCAAATGTCAGAAATTAATAAGAGGTGTGTGAGAAGTAAAAAATGGTATGTGAATATCATACCCCTAAAATAAACATACATGTTTAGTTCATATTTTGGGTTTGAAAGAAAACTATGGAGCACCAAGAATTTGTTTTCAATCAATGAGGTTGGGATTCGAATTCAATTTTTTTTTTCAACACTAAATATTGGATAAAGAAGTATTGGAAGATCAAAGATATATAGAAAACTAAATTTGAGGTAAAGATTATGTCAATGTTAGACATGCATAAGAGCTAATATATATAGACAACCAATATTTGAGAACTTCTTTGTCAAGCTTTCATTGTCATGAAATCTTGGCTCCGCCATTGGATCAAAAGATAAAATTTAGGATAAATTACATAATATCCCCTCAGGTTTGAGGTCTATTACAACCCCATACATCTTTAAAACATGGGAGTTTTAACGAAAAGCTCACAATACTGTTCACTTTAACAAAAAATCACATTTTTACACTAAAAAGTCCAACCTGGTACTATTCACTTTACCTTTTATTTTATCCTTATCGTTAAAACTCAAAGTTTTCAAACCCTTTTCATTAATTTTCCTTTAAAACATTCTACTTTCATATCTTACGTACTATTTTATTTCAAAATAATACCTCCATTACATTTTCCATCTATTAATCCGTTAAGCGCTGACTTGGTTGCCACATTTGTGCCACGTGGCAAAAAAAAATTTAATTTTTTTTTTAAAAACCTGAATCTTCTAAATAAAAATAAAAAATAAAAAATAAAAACAAAAAACAAAAGCTAAAACACACCTCCCCACAACCCCCAAACCTAGAAACCCTATCCCCCCACAACCCACGCAGACGCACCTCCCTCCCCCTCCTCCTCCTCTCTTCTCCCCCATCTTCATCTTCTTCCCCCTGCAACCCAAAAAAAAAAAAAAAAGCCCTTCAGTTCGTCTTCCCCCACCTCCTCCTCCTCATCTCTTCTCCCCCATCTTCATTTTCTTCACCCGACCGCCCTACCTTCAACCCAAAAAAAAATAAATCCAGATCCCGTCTATGTTGCCATCGCTGGGTTCGTGAGGTGAAAATGGGAGGAATGGGTGTGGATTTAAGGAGTGGGATGTGTAGAGGAGGGAAGAGGGTGGGTGCGGAGGGAGGGTAGGTGCGGGTGTGAGGGTGGGTGCGGGGGGAAAGGGGGTGGGGGTGAAGAGGAGAAAGGGCTCGGGGAAGGTGGGGGTGGGTGGGATAGGGTGGGTTTTTGGATGGGAGGGGAGGTGAAGAGAGTGGACACTCATTTAGGACACTCATTTTAAGAAAGGAAAACCCTCTTGAAAAATTTTCATTAGTAGCAGCAGGAACCTTTTCAAAATTATGTATTTATATCAAGTCTTTGGCTATATCTTCTAATTGTGCAATTTGGGAAGGACAGATTCTCATCTTCGTTGGGGCTTGTTCTACGCAGCAATCGTCATGACAAAGAGGGAGAAAGTGGGTATTTGTTGAGAGTGTTTGAGTGCTGCATGATGGTACATAACCAATTAGAAAACATCTTCCAATGGTGTAAATTGAAACTTGAACGAATAAAGAATAAAATGAAAATAAATTACAAAAATAGGAACAAACCATAGTTTGTCAAATGGCATATCCAACCTGCAAATAAACATTTCCAAGTAAATTCTTACCTCCAACCAAAAGAGAACAGAATAAACCATACTTTCGTACAATATCATGAATTAACTCAGAAAAAATTTCTTGAACCCAGATTTTTAAAATTAAAATCATAAAAATTTGAACAAAGAAAAGATAACACAAAAACCAAACCCGAAACAAATATGTCAGAGAATTCACCATGATGCCCTGTGGATCAGCAACCATGGTTGGAGAAGAAGAGAGAAGGAAGTTGCTTTAATAGTGAGTGAGTATTAGGTTCTAAGTTGGAGGTGAATCACAAAAAGGAAATTTCAATCCATTTGTAAATTCAAAATCACAAAACCCCATATTTGAACAAAACAAAACCCTGTTGGACTTATTCAACATAAATCAACCATAAATGGTCTCCTATTTGTAATAGGAATGTATAAGTTGGAGATCAGTTAAGTTGTGATTCAATATCCTTATATCAATCCTACATTAAGTGTTACATTATAAGTAGGTTTTGATTGAATCCTTAATAATATAGGATTATGATATTTTACTTGAGAGCCAAGAAATGAGAGTTTTTAGCTTTCCCTTATGGATGGAATCTAAAGACTTTTGGCTAGTATATAAACACCGGTCCCTGCTAACCCTAGATACGACAACTAAGACTTCCCATAGAGCATTGTCATAAAGCTAGGTGTTGACAGAAGACTTGGTGTTTTCTTTTGTTCTCGTCAAAACTAGTTTTGGTGTTCTATCGATTGTGCACTGATTGCATGGCCTCTACGCATTCAACAAGTAAGTCTTCTACATCAAACTACTTATGATTATTATATATATATATATATATATATATATATATATATATATATATTGTGTTTTGATCATATAAACATTATGGATAACAATTGGTATCAAAGCAACTGTTTATATGATCAAAACCTGTAAAGAATCAATATATCATGAGGTTTCAATTGATCAACTTGCATAGTTTCAATTCATGACAAGTTTTAACTGTTCTGCATAATTGTTAGTACTTTCGTACTTATAAAGTTGATATGAACATCATCTACATAATTCAGTCTATCATATATTCAAGCTACAGCCGTTTATCATGATAGGTTGAATCATGTAGTAAAGCTGATGTTCATTAAATTGCATTCCATATATGATATAGAAACTGATCTTCTTGCTCACAAGTGTTGATCATTGTTTTCTGGATCGTATATGAATGGTATGACATGATTTATATGCTATATCAGTAGTGAAGGTTCTCATCTTGCTCACAAGTGTTGGGAATCGGCATGAACTGGTATAACACATAAATCAGTGTCAAAAAACATATTGATCCATCTTGCTCACAAGTGTTGGATCAATTTCGTTTTTATAAAGTTTTGGGAATAGTTTAATCAATGCATGCATGTTGTATATGTATATTCAGTGATGAATGTTGTGAACACTGTTCAAACCCTAAGTGGAACAAACTACAAAAAGTGGAAACAAGACTTGGAAATCTGTCTAGGTTTAATGGATTTGGACATAGCAACAAGGGAAGTTTCTCCTCCAGAACCTGCTGCAGATGCTACAATTGATTTCAAAGAAAAATATGAAAAGTGGCAGAAGGCTAATCGGATTGCTCTCTTGGTGATCAAGAAGTCCATGTCTGACACCGTGAGAGGTGGCATCCCTGAGTCCGAGAATGCCAAGGAATTCTTGGAATCCATTGATGAAAAATTCAAGGAATCAGATAAGGCAGAAACTGGAAATCTCATGAATGAGCTCATGACCAAAAGGTATAATGGTATAGGTTGTGTAAGGGAGCATATATTAGAACTGCTAGATATTGGTGCAAGATTAAATGCTCTGAAAGTGCCTATGAGTGATCCCTTCTTAGTTCATGTGGCACTTAACTCATTGCCAAATGAGTATTCACAACTTAAAAGCACATACAATGCACAAAAGGAAAAATGGAGTTTGAATGAACTAATTGCGATCTGTGTGCATGAGGAACAACATATAAGGCAGGAAATCTTTGAAAAGAAAGTGAATATGGTGACTGATCACCATAATAATATTGCAAGGTAAGATAACAACAAGGGGGCATCGAATCATTCCAAGCTAGGTGTAAACAAAGGTTACAAAGCTGTCAAAGGCAAGTGTTTTTTCTGTAAGAAACCTGGTCACATGAAAAGACATTGCCAGAAGTATAAAAAGTGGCTTGACAGCGGCAAGGGGAAAGGTAATGTTATGATTTTTAAAGGTGAAGTTTTAGTTTGTTTGAAACAAATAATGTTGAATATGCTAGAGATTCTTGGTATAAGCAAGAGAGTGCCAAGAAGGGATGAAGTCTCAGTGATTGTTGGGAATGGAGGAAGAGCTGATGTTGAGTTTATTGGAACAGTTAGAATAAAGTTAGAATCTGGTTTTTCATTAGATCTTGAGAATGTATGTTATGTACCTTCAATTCGAATGAATCTAGTATCAGTTAGTCAGCTAGTTAAGAAAGATTTTGTTTTTTCAATAAATAACAGTGGTTTTTCGATTCACAAAGATTCTCAGATTATTGGAGATGGTTTACATATTGGTGGGATGTTTAGACTAAATTGCAAAGAATCAGGTCATGTAGCACTTTTAATTGGTCAGAAAAGATTAAATCAAGATGAGACTTCATCCACTCTTTGGCACAGAAGATTAGGGCATATTTCGATTGAGAGAATAAAGAACCTAAGTAAAAGTGGTATACTGCCACCACTTGAGTTTGACAATTCGGTTACATGTATTGAATGTATTAAAGGAAAAATGACAAGTACACACAAGAAAAATGCAATCAGGAGCAATGGATTACTGGAACTTGTGCACACTGACATATGTGGCCCTTTTCCTACACCTACTTATGATGGTTATAGATATTTCATCACATTTATAGATGATTATTCGAGATATTGCTACCTGTACCTGCTCACGGAGAAGTCTAGTGCTTTGAATGCTTTTCAAATTTACAAGGCTGAAGTTGAAAAACAGTTAGATAAGAAAATTAAGACTGTAAGGTCTGACAGAGGTGGTGAATACTATGGGAGATACACTGAGCATGGAAGAAATCCAGGTCCTTTTGCACTTTATCTGCAAAGTGAAGGAATTGTAGCTCAATATACAAATCCTGGAACACCACAGCAAAATGGTGTCTCTGAGAGAAAGAATCGTACATTAAAAGACATGGTGAGGAGTATGATGAGCACTACCAACTTGCCAATGTTTCTGTGGGGTGATGCAATTAAAACTGCAAACTATATTTGCAATAGGGCACCGAGCAAGTCTATCACTTCGACACCTTTTGAACTTTGGAACAACAGAAAGCCTAGCTTGTTACATTTGAGAATATGGGGATGTAAAGTAGAAGCAAGGGCGTATAATCCTCAGGAAAGGAAATTAGATCCCAAAACTGTAAGTTGTTATTTCATTGGTTATCCACCGAGAACCAAGGGATACAGATTCTATTGCCCTGGAAATTCCATGCGTTTCATTGAGACAAATAAAGTGAAGTTTATAGAAGAGATGACAGAGGGAGTCTTAAATCACAGATTGGTTTTTGAAGAACAAGATTTACAAGAAAATATAGAAGACACTGGTGTACAGGCTTCAACCACAAGTCAAAATCTTCTATTACCACCAGTTACTGAAAATATTGAGGATGTTGTGCGGAATGGTTTAATGGATGTCACTGATGATACTATAGGCAAAATGGAAGAACCAAATGTCACTCATGAACCAGCACAAGTTACAAAACAAATTCCTGAGGTTCTTGCACGTGTGCTTCGAAAATCTACAAGGCTGAGGAAATCAACCATTTCAGATGATTTTATGTTGTATCTGAGTGAAGCAGATATTAACATTGGTGAACCAACAATGTATAAGGAGGCTATAAGTGGATTGCAGCAAGAAGAGTGGGTCAAAGCCATGAAGAGTGAACTTGAATCAATGAAAAAGAATAAAGTATGAGAATTTGCAGTGTTACCAAAGGGAGCAAAACCAATCGGATGTAAGTGGGTAAATAAGACTAAGAAGGACTCCAAGGGAGAAATTGAAAGATTCAAGGCTAGACTTGTAGCCAAGGGATACACTCAACAAGAGAGAATTGATTACACTGAGACATTCTCACCAGTCTCAACAAAAGATTCATTCAGGTTTGTAATGGCTTTGGTAGCTCACTATGACCTTCATTTACATCAAATGGATGTAAAAACTGCATTCTTAAATGGCACCTTGGAGGAAGAAATTTATATGCGACAACCTGAGGGATTCATTGATGCAGATGGTAAGGACTTAGTCTGCAAACTCAGGAAATCGATTTATGGCCTAAAGCAAGCCTCTAGACAATGGTACTTGAGGTTTGATGAAGTAATGCAATCACATGGTTTCACTGAGAATTCAGAAGATGAATGTATATATTTTAAATCCAGTGGGAGACAATTCACAATATTAGTGCTATATGTGGATGATATCCTCATAGCCAGCACTGATTTGACTTTGCTGCATGAAACTAAGTTGACACTTAGTGATAATTTTGAGATAAAGGATATGGGAGAAGCAAACTATGTCTTGGGGATAGAAATAACTCGTGACAAAGAAAGAGGTTTGCTTGGAATATCACAAAAGGGATATATTGACAAGATACTCAAAAGGTTCAATATGTCAACGTGTAGTGGAAGTGAGGTGCCAGTGACAAAAGGAGATAAGCTGAGCAAGCTGCAGTGCCCTAAAACTGAAACAGAAAAACTAGAGATGGATGACAAATCGTATGCTTCAGTTGTAGGAAGCCTAATGTATGCACAAGTGTGCACCAAACCTGACATTGCCTTTGCATTGAGTTTGTTGGGAAGATATCAGTCGAATCCAGGACATGCTCATTGGATTGCAGCAAAGAAAGTGCTTAGGTATTTGCAGAAAACTAAAGACTATAAGCTGGTGTACAAGAGAAGTGACAAGCTAGAATTGGTTGGCTACTATGATTCAGATTTTGCAGGTTGTCAAGACTCACTGAAATCTACCTCTAGCTACATTTTTATGATGGCTGGAGGAGCAATCTCATGGAAAAGTATGAAACAAAAAAACGTAGCTACCTCTACTATGATGGCTGAATATATGGCTTGTTATGAAGCTACTTCTCAAGCAGTTTGGATTGGAAAGTTTATAGAGGGAATGAAAGTTCTCGATATTATCACAATTCCGTTGAAAATATTTTGTGACAGTACTGCTGCAATTTTCTACTCCAAAAACAACAAGAGATCTTCTGGGACTAAGCACATGCACATCAAGTATAAGTTGGTTAGGGAGAAGATTAAGCAAGGGTTCATAAAGATTACCTATATTGATACTGAACAGATGCTTGCGGATCCCTTGAACAAGCCACTTCCAGTCATGTCCTTCAAGAAGCATGTTGCAAATATGGGAATGATCTCAAACTTAGATATGCTGAGTTAGTGGGAGTAGAAATCTGGTTTTAGTTGCAGTAAAATAAGTGAGCTAAACTCACTAAGCTTGAATTTTGAAGGTGTGGTTTGTTTCCGCAGTTAAGGTTTGAATAAAGTTTTTTTTAATTAATTGTGTTCACATGATGCATGCATATTTAATTCTTTTGGCATGTTTTGTTTTGGAATGATGAAAAGTGTTTGCGTTGGCAAACATGCGGACTGCTTAAAAGCAGAAGCGTGGTTTTTGAAATGGTAAAAAGATTGCATTGATAAACATAAAGGCCGTTCAAAAGCATAAGGACTTATTTATGTAAGTTATGATGAAGTGGAGCAAAGATGATACAGAGTAAGACAATTCTTGAGTTAAAGTTCATCTCTAGATCATAATTTGACGGTTTTCATGTGAATGGTTGACTCAATGTATGTGATTATGAAGGTTCTGAGATGAAATATCTTTACAACCTTGTTAGTTCTACATTGAGAAGTCCATTTGACAGAAATTTGAATTAAGGATGGGTTTGGATCACAGTAATATGGCCATTAAAGAAGTAAGGATATCCGACATAAGTTTTGAAGCATAATCATTACAAATTAGTAGACCAAGTGGGAGAATGTTGGATTTATTCAATATAAATCAACCATAAATGGTCTTCTATTTGTAATAGGAATGTATAAGTTGGAGATCAGTTAAGTTGTGATTCAATATCCTTATATCAATCCTACATTAAGTGTCTTACATTATAAGTAGGTTTTGATTGAATCCTTAATAATATAGGATTATGATATTTTACTTGAGAGCCAAGAAATGAGAGTTTTTAGCTTTCCCTTATGGATGGAATCTAAAGACTTTTGACTAGTATATAAACACCGGTCCCTGCTAACCCTAGATACGACAACTAAGGCTTCCCATAGAGCATTGTCATAAAGCTAGGTGTTTACAGAAGACTTGGTGTTTTCTTTTGTTCTCGTCAAAACTAGTTTTGGTGTTCTATCGATTGTGCACTGATTGCATGGCCTCTACGCATTCAACAAGTAAGTCTTCTACATCGAACTGCTTATGATTATTATATATATATATATATATATATATATATATATATATATATATATATGTATTGTGTTTTGATCATATAAACATTATGGATAACCCCAGATGGAAGACTCAAAACACTCATCATGAAACCCTAGCTTTTTTGGACAAAAAATTCCTTCAAATCAATCTGAAAAAATGAAGACACTTACTTGAGTTCAATAAAAATCAAAATTTAAGCAACTTTCTTACCTGCAAATGTTGGATTAGATCAGCCCAGAACAAATTTCGACCGAATTAAAAATGGGTAGAAACTTCTAACCTCTTATTGATTTTCAAGAAAACAACTTTGATAACTAATTCGTGAACAACAAAGCAAGAGGCTGAATAATTTGAAGAATAAAAACGACGAGGCGATACAGCCACAGAAAACAAAGTCTGAGACGGAGAGAAATGGACGGCCAAAAAGGAAGGAACTTGAGGTATGCGAGAGGATGCACCGATGATGGACAGGTGGAGTAAAAGGGCATAACCGCTTTTTTACTGTAGAAAAACTGAAACAAAGTGCAGCTAGAAAAAAATCTGGCGAAAATTTTCGTCACTTTACTGTTAATGAATAGTAACATTGTGTTTGGGTTTTAGTAAATACTAAATAGATAATGTCCAGCCCATCACCAGGATAAATGACGTTTACTTTGTATTTTATTATCATGTTAACGAATTGTTATAATTATATCAATCTGGATTTTATATTAAATGTATAGTGCGATAATTAATTGAAAATATAAAATGACCAACCACAGTACTAATTTCTTTTGCAATCCATCCTTTTCCTTAGATCATTTGGTAGAGTATGCATCACGACAATTTGCTTGTATATACAACATGCCTTGTGTAATCAATTAGTTCATACTTTCTAACAACTAAAAAAAATGTGAAAAACAGTCAAAACGTATTATTTTTGAGAAAATTTCCCTCTGAATTATGTGTTAGGGAAAGAATCTCGTGTGTGTCAATTATCTACGTTTACAATTTATAACTATAGGGCGCTTAAAAATTCTACGTAGTCTTGGTTGACGATCAAATTTAGTGCAATGAAAATTAGGTATGATCTAATATGTTTTGGGGAATTAAGATTAGAAAACAGGGTTTTTTCTAGACACGTTGGTGTAACTTGGTGCAATTATATGGAATCTAGGCGTTGATGTAGTTGCCCAGCAAAAGTTTCAGAGGCTTTTATTTTGAAAATGTAAATTTGAATGCCTTAACAATAGATCACACGATAATTACCATAAATTATATTTATCCAATCATATGGATTGTTGCACGCAGACATACATATTACAATAATCTTGGAACTTTTGAAGACGTCCCAAAAATTTACTTTCTCAATTGTTCACTCACATTATAGACTAAAAGAAAATTTGTAAAACACAAAAACATGCACTTGTTGTAGAAAGTAGAAACTCCTTCGCCCAATTGTATAGGCAACAACTTTCTTTCGTTCTGAGGATCGTTGCTTATTTATAAAAATCGTATGACTAGATTTTCAAAGAGAGATTATCTTATCCCAAATCAGAGGGTCATGCCAGTTGCAAACACGATTCAAAGAAAACCCTTTTCTTTGCAACATTGGATTGCTTCATCACACATGTCATCAACTCCATGCTTAAACCTAAATCCAGAACTCAAGAGCTTTTTTTATAAGAGGCAAGGCCTTTTGTAACCTTCAATGCCTTTCAACAAACTGTAGGTCAAGCAAGAGGAAATGTCAAAAATATAGACAGTTTAATTGTTATATACATTGAGAGTAAAATGACGGAGACTGATTTATCGAGCATGTAATAATAATATTAGAAAGAAACTACTCACTCAGTTGTGGGAATGCGAAAACCCGGGTATTTTGCAGAAAGAAATTGGGACATTTCATCTATGGTTATCTGATTTGATGAACAAATGTACCTCCCTTTGGCATTAGGGTTTTCAAAAAGAAATATATGGGCACTAACCAAGTCATCTACATGTACCATATTTTGCCTCATAAGATGTTTGTAGTGATCTTGATTTCCTGCATACATTAAATAATATGTACAAGGAGAAAATATAGGTTAGTTTGGGTAGCGATTTTGACACAACTCCTAGTTTAGTTTCTTCCAACTGAAGTGCCAAAGTTTAAATTTGGCGTGTCAAAATTGCTAAGTGCCCATGAGTTTAGGAAACTGTTTTCAGAAAGCAAGCGTAATTTTGATTCACAAAACATGTTACTCAATACATACCTAGAATCATGGATAGCGACAAATACACTGAGGCAGGGAGAGTTTTGCAGAGAAATCCACCAACAACTAATGGAGGGAGTAAAGTCACAAGTTCCAGTTCATTTTCTTCTGCAAATTTTAGCGCTATTTGTTCTGTCTTGGTCTTGGCAGCCACATATGAAGTCCCAAATAATTTGAGAGACCTATGGTATTCAATGTCGCTCCATGTACTTTCATCCACCGAGTCACGGCCATTGTCACTGTAAACCGCAGCTGCTGCACTAGAAGTGTACACAACCCTCTTCATAGTCTTGGAGTTTAGGCATGCTTTCAATATTCCTAGGGCTCCTTGGACAGATTTTTTCGTCACCGAATCTTCTTCAAGTTCTTTGTCAGGCATAGGGTGAGCAACATGGAAAACCCCAATGCATCCTTCAATTGCTGCATTGAAACTGTCAGGCTGGTTGAGATCTACATTGAAGATGTGAAGATGTGAAGATGCTCTTGGCAGGCTTGTGAGGAAGCTGATGTCTCTCTTTTATTCTAGGGTCAATATGCAAACATCAAAGCATGTTATTTACCACATCAAAACAAATTCCCAAAATTTAGGATCCTGAATTATGTGATGGGGATGAGTTTGAAAGTTTGAACGTAAACAACTAATTGACAAGACAAAAGATTCTAAAACCACATAAACACAAAAATCAATAATAAGGCAACACATAGAGAATCTACAACAGAAAAGAAATGATACAAAAGATATCATCCATCTATAATATAATTTAAGAAAATAGGCTTTTTTTTTTCAAACTCTTTGAAAATGCCAATCATGTCCTCAATTTACTAATTTTGCTCCTATTCTACAAATTTTCAAGGATATATGTGTCAAACAATAAAATCAAATATGAAAGTTTTTATTTATTTATTTATTTTATTTATTATTTTTTTAATTTCATTCCCATGTTTTCGATTACTACTCAACACATGCTTAGCTTTATAACAAATGTGTTACTATATGCTTCTCTTTATAGGGTAAACCATTTAACAAAAAAAGTTGTGACTGAGAAATATATTGCAGAAAAATACCAATTATTTATATGATCAAATATATCAAATCAAATGTATAATCATTATCAAACTTTTGAAATTTAAATTGAGAAAAAGGAATAAGAAAATCTGGCATGTGAACCAAAGAGAGGCGCAATGTCGCTGTCCTAAAGCCGTAGATGCCTCCCTACGTGCAGGTTATGGCGGTGCCTACAACTCCAAGATACAACCCAAAGCCTCACAGGATGTCTGATCCGATATGCACGTCAACGACAGACGAGATTGCCAAGTAGTGATCAATTGCCCAAGAATTATGAAGTAGGAATGTAAATAGACTGAGAGATATGTGAGAATTGAGGGAGACAGAAAAGTTTAGCGTGTTTTTTTTTTTTTTTTTTTTTCTGTCTGAGGTTTTATATTTAAAGAACTCCTCATACCCTTTTAAAAAGGAATATGACTTTTCAAATAAAACACAACTCTTAAATATTATAAATAAATAAAATAAAATAATAATAAGTTTTGAATCTTTAAAATAAAATATTATTAAAATAATTAAAATAACCAACAATCCCCCACAAGATTCAAAACTTTATGAGGAATAAAATAGACACAATTGAAGAAACGGAAGTTTGGGCAATTTGTATACCATGCAATGGGTGTAGGTGTCTTTTGGACTTGAACCTACACTTAGTATTCATAGTTTTCATCTGAATGAATCATAGTGAATTAAGTCTTGAACTAGATTCCTCTAATTCAGATTACAACATATGACACACATAGAATTGATCAAAAACTTAGCGCGGGTTAGCACTATTAATGGCCATGTGCTTAATCTTGATTCTCATGAGTGTTTTTAGAGAACAACCCAATTCTCACAGTCGCGGCCTCACGACTACTCTCACTTAGGTGAGTCCTCCAAGAGTACATGTGACCTGTACTCTGCGGGAGATTGCCCGCCTTGGAACTCATTCAAGACAATGTCTTTCCTTAACATCACATATCATCAGCACAAATGTCATGGGGATGTGCAGGGGATTTTATTTCAAATCTCCTATTTTAGAATGCTGGAATATAAGTCACGCATTATGGATCTCCAATCACAAAGGTTGGGTTTCTTCCCTAGGTGACTTCCTTATGGGTTTAAGCCCATCCCCCTCGACAAATCTAGGACTCCATTCCTAGATAGACCTTTGGTCAATTGATCGGCAATGTTCTTTTCCGACTTCACATAGTCCAAAGAAACAACTTCTTTATTTAATAAGCTTCTCACATATTTGTATCTAACATTAATATGTCTATTTAATTTCTTATTTGTATGTGTCTGTCTCACTAAATCTATCACAGCCTTATTATCACAATGTATGGAGATGGCAGGTATAGGCTTGCTCACCAATGGGATATCAAGCAAAAAATTCTTAATCCATTCAGCCTCTATACATGCAGTATCAAGAGCTATGAGTTCAGATTCCATTGTACTTCTAGAAATTATTGTTTGTTTCTTAGATCCCCAAGATATAGCTACTCCTCCCAAAAAAAATACATAACCTGAAGTAGATTTCACTTTGGAGCTATCAGTGATCCAATTTGCATCACTGTACCCTTCTACTACATAACGAAATCCTTTATAGTGTATAGAATAATCCATAGTTCCTCTTAGATACTTAAACACTCGCCTTAAAGCATTCCAATGTTCTTTACTTGGATTATGAGTGTATCTACTTAGCCTTCCAACCGCATAAGCTATATCGGGTCTAGTTTTATTTGCTATATACATCAAAGACCCAATCATTTGAGAATACTCGAGTTGACACACGGGTTCACCACTATTTTAAAGTAAGCACGCACTTGGTTCATATGGTGTCGAGACAGGATTACAATTGAAAAAAATTGAATTTCTTAAGCATTTTCTCAATTGGACTTGCTTGGTTTATAATAAAACCTGCTTGTGTTCTTTCTACTTTCATTCCCAAAATAATATTGGCTTCTCCTAGATCCTTCATATCAAATCTCTTTGATAGATAAGACTTAACATCTTTCACAATTTCCAAACTTGTTCCAAATAATAATATATCATCAACGTAAAGACATAAAATAACACAATGTCCATTGCATTCCTTATAGTAGACACACTTTTCATGCTGATTAATTTCAAAATCATATTCTAAAATGACTTTGTCAAACTTCTCATGCCATTGCTTAGGAGCTTGCTTGAGTCCATATAACGATTTAACCAACTTACACACTTTATGTTCTTGGCCTTTCACTATAAATCCTTCGGGTTGCTCCATGTAAATTTTTTTATCTAAGTCTCCATTCAAAAATGCTGTTTTAACATCCATTTGATGTACTACTAAATTGTGTATTGAAGCTAACGCTACAAGGATCCTAATTGTGGTAATCCTAGACACAGGAGAGTAGGTGTCAAAATAATCAATTCCTTTCTTTTGAGTGAATCCCTTGGCTACTAGCCTAGCTTTGTACTTGTCTATACTTCCATCAGGCTTCAGTTTCTTCCTAAATACCCACTTACAACCAATTGGTGTAGTACCAAATTGTAAATCCGTTAACTCCCAAGTGTTGTTTTGGAAAGTAGACTCAACTTCACTATTTATAGCTTCTTTCCAAAATGGAGCATCGACGGAGATCATGGCTTCCTTATATGTTGTTGGATCACATTCAATTAGAAACGTATAAAAATCATCACCAAAGTTCTTCTCCACTCTAGGTCTCTTACTCCTTCTAAGTTCAGCTAGAGGTTCTTCTTCAATTGTAACTTGATGGCTAATACTTGTGGAGGCTTTGTCAGTACTAGAGCATGATCTATCTACCACTTGCTTTTGCATTCTAGTCTTGAAAGGAAATATGTCTTCAAAATATATTGCATCTCTAGACTCCAATATAGTGTTATTCAAAATTTCATTTATTTCAAAGTTGATGACTAGAAATCTATTGGCACTACTATTATGAGCATAACCTAAGAACACAGTATCCACGGTTTTAGGTCCTATCTTCTTTTTCTTAGGTTCTGGGATTGCAACTTTAGCCACACCCCCACACTTTCAAGACTTGGAGATTTGGTGTTCTCTTTTTCCAAATTTCATATGGAGTAGTAGTATTGTTTTTAATGGTTACTCTATTTAATATAAAACATGCAGTCAAAATTGCTTCCCCCACAAATTTTCCGGTAATCCAGAACTCAAAAGCATTGTATTGACCATGCTCTTCACAAAAAACACTAAGATCGGTAAGAGTGTACTCACCACCTCTATCAGACCTAAGTCTCTTTATCCTTTTCTCTAATTGATTTTCCACTTCTATTTTGTAAATCTTGAATTTACCAAATATTTCATCCTTAGTCTTTATCAAATATAACAATACTTCGAACAATCATCTATAAATGTGACAAAATACTTATTACCAGCTGTTGACCCTAAAAACTACCAAGCCTACGTGGCGTGCAGGCCGAGTAATTAGTAAGTTAACTACGTCATTCGGTTGTATGCGGGGGGTGCCAACTCGTCAGCCGAGCTCGGCCAAGGAGTAAAATTTGTTGATATTGAGTTGGGTGCACTGCTAACTTCTGAATCTCGCGATTGCGGCCGAGGAAGGAACTTGTCTCGGCCTTCGGGTTCTAGAGCCTGAAGACAAGGCTGCTAACTTAGCGAAGTTCAATATCAAATTCGGCTTTCAATGTGCCGAATGTAGTAACTTGTAACACCTCACTTTGCCGAAAAAGGCTAATGAGATGACCTTGACCAATAAGGATTCAGAAATCCTTTCGACCGAGACTTGGATAGGTAACCAACTGCCCTCGCCGCAGTGTTATTGATGCCAACGGAAGATGCTGCGAGATCGGTTGATTATACGGTGACAGAGTTATCTATGCCGACTGAAGATATCACCGGTTGCTTTCACAGTGTTGTTGATGCCAACGAAAGATGTGTTAGCGAAAAGAGAAAATAAAAAATCTCAAAGTTGTTAAGAGAGTTTGCGCAGGGCAGTTGTGTGTTGAATTGGAGGTCCCTTTTTAGTTGTCTGCCGCTTGGTATTTATAGAAATGTGCGTGCCTAAGTCGTAAAAACCAATCATAATTGCACCGTGACTCTGAGTCTTTATTTGTTGCTAACCCTACACCTTATCACATCAATCAAAACCCGATGTAATCTTGAAAACCTGACCTTCCACCAAATTTGGCTTTCAAAGATTTATTTGACAATCTTGCTTTGGCTAGATTATTGGCAACATTTAATGCACATTGTTGTTTTGACCATGTAGGAAAACAAAAGAATATTATTTTATTCTTTACCATCTCTTATCTTTTGCATGCCCCAAGAGACCATATCCATTTCAAATTATATCTCCTTTCAGATGGCACTTATCACTTTTCGATGGTAATTATCACTATCTTTTTGCTTGGTCAAGTTCCAACTTGATCCATTCTCATCCATGCAGAACATGCTAATCCTTTTACATATCTTTGTGCTGAT